TCTCCCTTTTTATTTAAAAGAAAGATACAGTTTGCGTTCATATAATCACTGAAATATTGTGCTTTCTAAAGAATGCAACATTCGATGCAATCAGTTCTGCCCAAACAAATCAAATATTTCCTTGAAAATCAAAATACTGTCCACTTTTCCTCTCTGTCCAGGAAATCGTTAACTTTATTTTTCGATACTTGCCATAACCAAGTGGACATATACGATACCATTAATCATCAATAACTGGTGATAGAAAAATCAGCGATTGATCAATCTCTACATTGGCAACAATATTTGCTATTTGCCTAAATATGCATGCATTTAAAAAGATAAAAGAAAATCATTTTGCAATGGGCCTTGTGCACAGTTCAAACGTAATGCATTTGTTCAAACATTTAACCATAGTAACCGAATGAGGCGTGTTACAATGTATGTTTATCAAGTTTCAGCTACGTTCTATTCTCAAACGGTTCCCGCCTCTATCGTCAAGATGTAAGGCCATAGGTTATTAGGTGAATTACACTTTTCTGACCGTTCTAATCGATTGATCACCCTATGACATTCCCAAGAGAAGTTGCGTTACCCAAGCAACCACTGCTTCGGGACGGAGTTTACAAAACCAAAGATATGGATCGATCTGAATTGGGACTTTAGGCGGCACGGTTCTGATAGTGGAAATAACGGTGAACGGAATGATTTAACAACAAACGTGAGAACCCGTTTGTATCGATGATTGTCTACAGAACTTTATCATGCGATTAGTTCCGGGGGAGCTTGATCGATCGGAAAAAAGCGTTTAATAGATTATATGTTGAGAAAAAGAGGAGTTCCATCGGATGTTTTTACCCGCGATACCGAAAGCGTACATTCCAAATGGGCCTTGAATTTAATCGACTAAAGTGATCATTGTGTATAGGATCGACTTATCTATTGAGCCCGTGGGCAGTATTGATGTATCCAGTGGGTTGAGAGATAGCTTTAGTTCCCCGAACTCATGCAATGACGTGTCTGATTATTATTTATTTTTCAACAAAACCAGAAGTGAAATTTTCTATCAATCGGAAAAATTCTTCGAAGTAATATTTTCTGGTTGGCTGAAGTTTTTCGTGGACTTTTGCACCGTTGTGTAGTATTTGTGTAAGCCACTGTCTCTCCTAAAACTTACGGCACGAGAGCTTTCATTCTCAGTTCTCCTACATCGTCACCTACTGGATTACATTGTTTCCAAAGCGGAAAACTTTTCCATCGCGGCACAGAGGGCGCGAGAGAGATAGACATGTAGAATTTTTTTTAACCGATTCCTGTTCTTGTTTAGTCACACACACACACACTAAAACAAGCACTCGGACGCTGATTCACCTGTGTACCGTAATTTCAACGTCTGATCGCGACGCCGGGTGTGAGAATCATTCTGTATGTGTATATACGTCTAGGTGCGATCGATCGATCATTCATCCGGTTGATCGATTCACCGGTGAATCAATACACCCGGGATAACCGAGTGGACTTGGACCGAGTCGCACGGTACACGACGAAGTCCGATCAGGCGTGCGGATCGGCGGTTAGCTTGGATGAACCACTTGCCTTGTCATTCTGTGCCTGTCATACTTTTTCTCAGCTATTCCCAGATTGGACATGCGCGTGTGTGTCACTTGTTCTGAACTGGATATCGAGATGTGCACAGTTTGGAGTTATCACCCCCCCCCCCCGCCCCAACAATGTCCGCCGAACGGTGGATGGGGATAGAAAAGCGCTTGGCATAGACACCTGATTGACCCGCGGTGAAATCAAATTTCATTAATTTTGCTCTCGGTAACCGTTTAAACCAGCTACGAAATTGCACACAAACACACCGAGAACACACTTTCGTTCGATTAGACCGGTTATTTCCCACTGAAATATGTCAGGTACTCCGCAACTAAATTTGCTTGGGATAATTATGGGAACTTTTTACGTCTAGATTCCAGGGATAATGTTGACACTGGCAGCCGTCATAATCTTGTAGTTATGGGAAGAGGCCTCGCGAAACAACTACACTCACCGTCCATCGTTTTTCTGTCTATACCTGACGCAGGTCACACTATAGAGACACTAGATGTGTATAAAATCGGAAGTTTCACTCTAAATTGGCGGTCAGTGTACAACCACACTTATTCTCATCCACTATAGTCAGTTAACAGCAAAGCATTCCGGACGAGATCCTCTCAAAATGACAGAGAGAAAGAGATAGTGGAACCCGCACGCATTTAAAACAAATCAGCCACGGAGGGTACTTTCTGGCCGCCGTGAAAGAACAAGACAATAAATGTGATACAATCGGGATTGAATAGTATTTACGCTGTACATTGATACCTGATGAGGTGCATTTACGCACGAAATCGGGAACGGAGAGGTTTTTTAGTCCTAAATATTATGTTTCATACGAATGTGAGTGCATCAAGCACGAGGTGGAAACCGGAAATGAAGACAAATGAACTGAGGGGGTCGATTGGCTGTACAAAACAAAAACAAAGATAATGCGAATTGTTGAGTCTTCTATACACAAATGGTAAGAGGGACAGATCAGTAGGCTTTATTATTGCTCCCAGTCAGACAGACAGACAAACAGACAAGCGGATTCACATCACGCTTGCCATGCTCACTCATTCAGTCGCTGAAGCAACATAAGAGGAGAGTATTTTGTTCACCGCTGTCAGACTCATACATACACTACGAGTAGAACCCAGAAGCCGTTGCCACACGGGTCCGGGCATTGGTAAAACAGTCTTGGTCGAATCCATTTGGTCCAAACCGTCACTTCGCAAATGGCTAGTGGCCTCTTTTGCCTGGATGACCAGACCTTTCAGAGCTTCACAAATTGCGCTGCCCCTGTTCTCCAGTTCGACTGCGATCTTGCGTCGACAATCATTTTTATCGACCAAAGTCAAACTCTCTCCGACGCCACACACTGTGGAGCAAAACTCCGCGATAGCGCGAACCAACAAACTGGATTGATGCAATGTGTTTTTTACTTGTAAGGTTAGAAAATTTGGAGTTAGTGGCGATTTGGGGTCTTTGTTTGAATTCGGAGACCAGTCGTGATCCTGTAACTCCTTTAGGAATCTGTGAGCTAGACTGGTACTGGTATCACATCGTTGCTTTAATGATTGTATGCCATTCTGGAACGTCTTGAATTGTTGCGGATCAAGACGTTTCAGCTCTTCCAATCCAGCATTCACTTTGGCCTTGTCTAATTCATTTAACTGAGGCACAGAGCTACTTAACGACCGGGTCGTTTCCAGAGTTCGATCGGGCATGTATGGTCGGTGACTGGAGTTAGCTCGACGCAGAACTTTCGTGGGACTAAACAGTAGTGGTGCATTGGCCAAAACGGCCGCATCCAATGATTCCACAGTCTGTGATACCAGCTGGAGTAATCGAGGCAATTCGCCGGAATTAGGGGAACTGTGTGACTCTACCTCGCGGACAATACTGCCCAGTCGAGCAGTCACATCTTCAGCAGTTTTACGGAGCAATAGGAATTTTCTTGTCAGACCGGCATCCGGTGAATCTTTCGATGAGGTGGTCAGAAGACCACAAATCTGATGTATCACTGTCAGGTCTTGCACCAACAGAGCCAAATTGTACGTACACACGGTTGTGTCCACCGCACCGTGTGACCGATCAGTCCGTACGGAGGCAAAAACACGTTTACTGTGCTCCTCAATTCGTTTCTTTAGGGGCGAGAAAAACCGCACATATGATGATCGGGAACGCAGAGCGGCCAGAATATCTTGTTGTTCCTTGAGCAGTCCAGTTTTCATTTTCTCCGTGTCTGTCATGGCGGAGTCTACTGAGGAAACACTCATTACCGAGTGTTCATCTGCATCTCTGTGATCCAGCTTTTCGAAATTCGGATACGTTTGACTGGTCGCTTTGTAAGAGGTTGGATTACGTGCGAACTGAGTGATGGTAGAACTAGGCATTCGATCCGGTCCATTATTCCATCGCATGTGCTTGGCTTCACTGACCCAGTGTGGTTGTCGATTGTTCGACGGATTGTAGCGCCTCATTGTGGTCACAGGTTGATGCGGAACAGGAGGCAGAGCACGTGATGAAGCGGACCAATCGAAATCGAGTTTGTAGTTCGGTGTGGGATCAAAATCCAAATCCTGAAAATGGGAGAAAAGCGACATTACATTGCATAAATCAGACATCATCAGCTCATGGGATGAATGGTGATATAGTTGATTGAAATGTTCCCATAAAGAAGACCTATTCAGTGTACGGTCTCCGTTGCTAATCAGTCTGCTACTCATTGAGTATTTTTATTGTAAAATTGCAAAAACAAACGGTTTTCTAAACTGAGGTCAACAAGACGTGAGCGGCAGGAAATTTCATTTATTTAGCGGCTCTTAAAATAAACATTACGTGCGGTGTACTTTTTGGATTGGTTTATTACTTCACGATTGTCATTGACTGCGTGAACGGGTCACATGATAAGCAATTGGAATCAAGCAAAACCGAATGTCAAAATAATTTTTGGTTTTATTCCACATTTTGACATACTGTTAACGCAGTTCGTTCTGACAGAACGAGCAAACCCGTTTTTGTTTGGGGGGAGGGGTGTTTTGCGATGGACAATGTGACCAACTACAAGTCGTTCGGTGGGTGGAGTCGGGGATGGTTTTACACATTCATATTCAGTTCACCCATCTACATACTGTTTTATACAATTTGCGTTTTCAATTTAAAACACGTTTACTTTTGTGGTACACAACTCCCATCACTATCATCATCAGAGTAGCAACCAGGAAGACATCATACATATCATGTATGATACTAGGCGGGAAGAGGGAGTGGAAATTGCACACCCAGTTATCAGACAGAATACTTACTTGATTATGTGTAACCAGGGTTGCATAATCGTCTGCTTTAAGCAGAATCTAGGAGATTATGCTAACTGTGAAAAGTGCGCAAACAGTGGTCCACAAACAGTTGACTGAACTGTGTATAAAACACTGCAATGTGAACACTGGTCACAATTCACCGGTCCTGTTGTTATATGAAAAAGTAGATGGTTAGATTAGCCTTGTTTGTTGGGAATTCAAGCACCAACCAACGTATGGTTTCTAACGTAAATCTATTCAGACCGATTTGAGGTCTGATCCCAAACGAGTAAAATGCACTTAATCGATTCAAATCAATCGAGTTCGACTGGTACGTGCGACTTTAGTTTCATTCAATTCTGAACCAATGATCACTTATGTGAAAGCAATTTGCGTAAATTACTCCACACCGAAAAAGGACACAGAGAATCACGCTTGCAGTCCACTTTACGGAGCAGGTGTGTTTTTCTACTGGGTGAATACTTAGTGCGCTTCATCCGGAACAAACACTGAGTTTACGCGAGATGCGAATGCTGCAGATTAATGAATATTGCTCTGTATCAATGCAACTCTAGCAATAATTTTCTAGTGCTATGTGATATAATGCATCATGGTCATGAGGTATGGTACAGTTGTGTAGCACAGAACTCCGTTTTCTGTGGACCCCAGATGCAGAAATCAATTTACATCTCTCTCTCTCTCGAATGGGGATCACCCGAAGGCGGCCCTCAACGCTTTTGATGAAAATTTTCCGATAGGGATAAAAGTTTACCGTCATTCCGATTCGCACGAATCTCATTTGGATGAGCGTGTTGTGTGAAAATGTTTGATAATAAGATCGTTCTAATATTCTCCATCCAATCTTAAGCGTTAGCCTGGGTACAAGAACATCACTCCGTTTCACTCTATTTTCGAACGGGTAGATCTGAATCACAACACATAAATCTTAGAAAACAAGCACAAAATGACAAACAGTATTTCTTAAATGCCAAAACAAATCTAGAGTGAGAA